CAGCTCCCTGGGCCGCAGTGTCTGATCTGCTGTTATCTGGGCTAATTTTCATCTTGCCCTGCTTTCCTCTCTGGGTGTTCACTTTGGCTCCTTATATCATGCATCTCCACTTTTCGGCCATGTGGGACATAGTTAAGTAGCTGTTCGTCGCCCCCATGTGCTGATCCTGTCCGGTCAGCTCTGGGTTGGTTTTGAATGATTGCTTTTTCACCCCTTTGAGGACCTCATTTTCCTCCTTGGTTGCATGTCTGATAATCTTGGATTGGATACTGAGCAGTGGCACTCTTAGCCTGTGTGTTGGGTATATTTTTGCATTCCCATCAGTATTCTTGGCCTTTGCTCTGGACACCATTCAGCTGTCTGAAAGCAGGCTGATCTTTTTGAGCTTTGCTTCCGAGATTCATCAGACGGGGCCGGAACAGTGCTGTGCCCAGCCTTGGGTGCCCCGCACGGCAGCCGAATTCCCCTCAGCACTCTGCCGGGGCCTTCCTGTCCCCCTGGTGGAGACTACTGTTCCAGGCCCGTGTGGCCCCAGGCACTGTTACTCTGCCCCTCGGGATGGTCCTTCCCAGGCCCGGGGGCCTTCCTCTCGCCCATGTGCGGGTCAGGCCCTGCTGTACATGCGGGTCCCTGGAGATCTCCAGGGTGCGCTTGGGCCACACCTCTCCCCGGGCCCCCATCTTGCAGACGCCCTGGGGACCCCTGCACCACAGCCTGGAAGCTCTGGCGGAAGCCAGCACTGTGGGGCCTGTTCCTGTCTCTCAGAGACCACTGTCTTCCACAGCCCGATGCCCAGTGCCTTGACAGCTGTTGTCTTGGGCATCTTGACAGGTTTTTTTTCCCCTCATGATTTCGATCAGAAGTTAATCCAATCTCTCCACTGCATCTCGCATGGAGGCTGCAGGCCCACCCCCAAATTTTTTTTTTTAAATGCACGTGACACGGCTTCACACTCCTTTGTTCCTGGAGAATTGGCTCTTTGGCATCTGCTGGCCTGTGGCTTTTCTTTTTCTCTTTTTTTTCTTTTTTCCTTTTGAGTTGGAGTCTCACCCGGCCACCGCAGCCTCGATCTTCCAGACTCTGGCGATCTGGCGCGCGCTACCACGCCCGGCTAATTTTTTGATTTATTGTAGAGATGAGGTCTCGCCAAGTTGCCCAGGCGGGTCTTGAACCCGCGGGCTCAGGCAATCCACTCAGCTCAGTCTCCCAAGGTGCGGGATTACAGGCTTAAAGTCGTGGACTTGCTTTACAGATCGTCACAACAGACGCTGCTGTGTGCAGTGTTCCCAGGTGTCTGGGTGTCCCAGGTGAAACCCTGTGGGCCGGGGGTGCTCACCCCAAGGTGACAGTCGCTTCATCTCTGGAATGAGGCATCTCTCCAAGTGTAGATGGCCGGCTGGGCTCTCGCTGAGTCTCAGACACCAGCTGCCTGGGTCTTCTGAGAGCGAGTGGGTTGGAAATAGGAAAAAAGTCTGTGCGAGTTGGCTGACCTCCGAGGCAGTGGGCAGTGCGTCTGACTCAGTGACTCAAAGCCAAGTCCAGGTGTTTGTGTAGGTGGCATGGTGTGTACTGTGCCCGAGAGTCCCATGGGAGAGGACCAGCTCTCACCAGAGGCCAGGTGTTGGGTTTTTCAGTTTGCTCGTCTCCCAGAGTAAGGTCCCTGGTCCTCCATGGAGGCAGCTTCTGCTGTCCACACACCGGGGTCCTGTGCTCGTTACTTTGTTTCTGGTGGAGAGGGTGAATCAACGTACAGGAAGGACAGTTCCTGTCCACCTGGCCATTTTCCTCCAGGGAGGGGAGGGAGCGTGCTTTGAAGACCTGAGTTGAGATCGGAGCTGGGCTGCTGGCTGAAGGAAGCCCATCCTGCGTCTTATTCTGCCTCGATCGCACAATGAGACAACAGGAGACGAAGGCCTTGCTCCCAGAAGAGTTTCAGAGAAAGGCTAAGTGCTGGTTTCAGACTGGGTGCGCGGCTTTTTGGCGGGGGACTTCTTAGAAGGAGCTCCAAGTTCTGAGGACAGCCGGGCCATCCTTGGTGAGTTGCCGAGTGATGTCCCTGAGATGCTGGTGCCTGGTGACAGCTTCAGAAGGGGGAGGCTGGTCATCTGGGCGAGCCGCTGCCTCCCGACACCGAAGCCAGAGCTGGAAACTAGCTCGTGCCATGGCGGCGCGCAGCCGGGGGGGGGGGGGGGGCAGCCTGTCGGTCACAACTGCCCCCAGGCTTCCCGATGTCTCCTTCCGCTTAGCTCCAGTCCTCACTCAGTTCCCATGTTGTTCCCTCAGCACCTGGGGGCCAGCGTGGCGAGCGTCCTGCAGGAGCCGGTCCCCTGCGCTTCTGGATGAGGGCGACCCACCCTGGACTGCCTGTTACTGCGGCCGCAGATGGGGAGTGGGTTTTGCCTTGTCCCCATCAGTGACAGGCCCTGGGCATGACGCGTGTGTTTGTTGGGTTTCCTGCGGTTTGGAGGCAGTTGGGGCTCACTTGCGTGTTGTCCATGTCATCTGTGTCAGCACCTTGAGCGCCTGCCCGCTTTCTCCTGTAGGAGTTGCAGCCTGTGATAGGCTTCGCTCCTGTTTCTCCCGAGTGTCAACTCTAGCCTGGGGGAACAGACCGTCTGCCCTCCAGAAGGGGCACTCCGACACCGTGGCGTCCTCACCCCACGGCTTACTTGTCTGTCCTGTCTTCCACCCCAAGGGCAGGGACTGCCCTTGTCCACAGGAAGCATTTGGCTTAAGTAGCAGTGAGTTCACTCGGGGGTGACGGCGTGGCACTATTAATAGATGAGCATTTGACACTCAATGTGTGTCTGTTTTATTTTAATACACTCGCCAGTGCCCGTACAGACAGTCGCCTGAAGAACCTGCTGATGAGAAGGCAGCTGTGGTGAGAGAGTCTGTGTTGGGGTAACCGAGAAGCGGTCTCCCCCTTGGCCAACTTTGGTGTTAAGTACAAGCAGAACCTCCAGGGACTGGGACCAGCAGACTCCGGGTGCTGCCACCCCACCCCCTCACCCCCGCCCCCAAGGGATTGGCGCCCATTCCTTTTCTCTCGGGGGTTCTGTAAACCATGAATGGCCGAACACACTAGCGACACACACCGCGCTGTTTGACGAGGAGCTCTGTCCCTCCAGAGGAGCTGTGGCTAAGTCTCGAAATAGGAGCACAAGTCAGGAGTGTACCTGGGGGGAGACTCAGCTGTGTTGCTTCTGTGACCCTGCAAAAATGTCTTCCAGGATCCCTGCCAGCAGGGAAGTGGCGGGGTCGAGGGAGGAGGGAGGGAGGGAGAGAGGCGGGGACAAGGCGACAGAGACGGGAGAGAGACAGAGACAAAGGCTGCCTGCCTGCCTTTGAGGTGGCCGGTGCTGTCATTTGAAGCCAGAGGCGGGGGTATGTGTGTGTGACTCAGCACCTGCTGTGAACCTGGGTTACCCAGGGCCTGGCTACTTATTTCGAAAGGTCCTGAGTTTGCAGTTTTAAAGACAAAATAGAGCTCCAAATGCTGATGCCAATAGTATGCGCGTGCCAGGAGGGTGCATAGGAGGAATCATGGGTCACACAATTCAGCAGTGACATGTCATACTGGGGAAAGGTCGTTTTAAGGACATCAACTCTCGGTTCAGGAAATGAAGTTTCCAGAAAATGGTCCCAAGTGACTGTTTCGTGAAGGACACGTACCACTAAGCCCATCTACGTTTTTTGCCAGAGAAAGTACACTTCTTCATATGTTATGTAAAATACTTATTTTGTAATAATAATTATGTTTGTGGAGTTCACTAATGATTAACTATAGGAGCAAAGCCTTTCTCATGCTGTTATCCTGGGTGTTCTTTTTGGGCGGGGGAGTCAGGGTCTCACTCTGTCACCCAGGCTGGAACTACAGGTGTCCCCACCATACCCAGATAAGATTTTTTTTTTTTTTTAAATAGGAGTCTCACTGTGTCACCCAGGCTGGAGTGCAGTGGCACGCTCCTGGCCTCCACAGCCTTGACCTGCTGGGCTCCGGCGATCCTTCCGCCTCAGCCTTCCAAGCAGCTGGAACTAGACTCACGCCACTACACCCGGCTAATTTTTTGATTTATTGTAGAGACAAGATCTCGCCAAACTGTCCAGGCTGGTCTGGAACCCATGGGCTCAGGCAATCCTCTCGCCTCTGCCTCCCAAAGTGCTGGGATTATATGTGTGAGCCACCATGCCTGGCCAAATTAAGATTCTAAAGTATTTCTGTTCTATATGTCTTCACATTTTTTGAATCCAATTTTGGTTCAAAACTTGCTGATAGAAAAACTACATTTCTATTTACTGTATTTCATATTTGAATTGAATGAGATTCTGGTTTTGTACATGAGATTTGAAAGGAAATCTTATTAGAACAAGTAAGAATGAACAGTGTTTCTTTAATGTGGGTAAAATTTCTCTGCCTCAAAAAAATTGTCATTTCTTCATTAAGATAAAATCAGAGTAAGCTACACAACTAGCATGCAGAAAAATAAATCAGAGACAGATGAACTGGGCCTGTGTCACCCGGGAGTCTTCAGCTGCCTGTGGACAAAAGTACTGTCCAAGTGAGAGTGGGGGGACAGAGCCCCTCATGTCCTCCCTCCTGTTGGGAGGAGGGCTCCAGGGGAAGGTCTCTGGTTCCCGAGCTGTGGTTTCTCTGTGCAGTCATCAGGGTGAACTCACACACACTTCCAGGACTCCACCTCCACCAGGGACTCAAAGCGTCCAGAAAGAGGTTGCGGGGTCACGCCTGTTCCGAGGCCCCCGATGACTGTGGGCCTTGTAGATGCCAGAAGGGTGAGGTCCGGCAGGTAGGGCACGCCCTCGTTAACTGATGTTACTCGCCATGGTGCCAGCTGTGATGGGACCGCAGTGTCGGACAAGAAGTACCCCAAGATCGACCAGTCAATTGCTTGTAGATTACTTAGGTGGTGGGTGCCTTCTGCTATGATTATAGCTCGTTGATACTGAACACTTAATGTCTTCCTTCTCTTTTTAGGCTGTGGAAAACCTCTGTTCTCACAAAGTCTCCCCAACACTCTACAAGCAGCTGCGCCAGGTCTGTGAAGACCACGTCCAAGCACAAATCCTTCAGTTCAGAGAATATCCTTTTTTTGACTCGTGAGCTTTGTTCTTCCCCAGAGCCTTTGAAACCGGCCATCAGTGGGATTAAGACCCTCCAAGCACCCTTAATTCTGAAGCCGTTTTTTAAGTCCTCCCTTGTTTATAGAACAAAAAACTGGCATTTGTTTCGTGACTCAACAAGATAGATGTTTAAGGGGAATTTACTTTAAATTGCTTGCTGATCTGCGTTAAAGTGTAACAGTGTCCATTTACTGGGTCTGGTTAGGGTATTCAGGAAGAGTTCTAAAAATGTGTTAGAGCTTGAGTTCTGCTATCCTTGACTCTAGCAGAAACTATGTGTATTGGATATCTCTGATGTGTAACAGATTCCCACAAACTTGACAACTTAAGACGCCACCCACTTCCCAGCTCACAGCTGTGTCTGTCGGGGGTCTGGCATGGCCCAGTGGTTTCTCTGCTCAGGGTCTCGCAGGTGAGACCCTGGTGTGAGCCAGGCTGTGTCACCTCTGAGGTCAGGTCCTCTCCTCACTCGTGCAGGTGGTGGGCAGAGTTTGGTGCCTGTGGCTGTGGGACTGAATCCGGCCTTCTTCCTGGTGTTGGTCGGGGTTGCTCTCGGCTTCTTTCACCGTGTAGCTACTTGCTGCCTCTGGGCTGGCAGGGGAGCCTGTCTCTCTGACCTGCTAAGGCAGAGCCTTGTGCGATGTAACCCAGACCAGGGAATGGTGAACGCTTTTTACTCATGGCCCTATCCACGGACCAGAGGAGGGAATGACACGAGGCGTGTCCATGGGACTGGGAATCTTGGGATTGTCTGCCACACCATCTGTGGCTTGCATCCACAGGGGAGGCTGAGCTCCTTAACGTCCTGCAGAAAATCCTTTAATCAGCCTCAGTCCTGTTCCCTAGCCTCCCCGTTACTGTAGCCACCTACATGTCTCAAGGGGTAAGAATTAGAAAAGAGGTTTCAGCCGGGCTCGGTGGCTCAACCTGTAATCCCAGCGCTTTGGGAGGCCGAGGTGAGTGGGTTGCCTGAGCCCGCAGGTTTGAGACCCGCCTGGGCAACTTGGTGAGACCTCATCTCTACAATAACTCAAAAATTAGCCGGGCGTGGTAGCGCGCGCCTGTAGTTTCAGCTACTTGGAAGGCTGAGGCAGAAGGATCGCCGGAACCCAGCAGGTCGAGGCTGCGGTGACTAGGAGCGGCCACTGCACTCCAGTCTGGGCGACAGAGTGAGACTCCAACTCAAAACAAAACAAAACAAAAAAGAAAGGAGGTTTCATAGCTACAGAAGATCATGTGGCTACGTGCCTAGACGCCTGTTTCTTCATGTGCACACTTGGTGGTTGGGACTCGCGCATTTCCAAATTTTCTTCTCGTTGAGGGGACCTTTTCTCCCCTGCCTCTCGGATCTTGGGAAACTAAGCCGTCGTAAGTTCATCGGAGAAGCCCTCAGGGCAGCTGCGTGGCTGGTGGAGAAGCCCTTGACAGTGAAGCCCAGATGGCCGGGGCAGGGTGTCTGTGTTTCGGCCGCCTGCAGGTCCCCATGGGCGGGGGAGAGAAGGCAGCTTGCGTGCTGTTGTGTTGGCTTCTGTAAATGCTCCTCCATGGTACTTTCTGGCAAGCTCTTTCCTAAAGGCCGTGAGGTTTTTCGAGATAACGGTGACCACACACGACCTTTTGGAACCTGGCCAGAGAACCCTTTATCTCAGGAGGCACCTGTGAGGGCCCCAGAAGCTGGCCACGCATCGGAGCACATGCGCTTCCAGGAACCCACGTTCCAGATGTTTATGCCTGGGGAGTGGCCTGGCTCCGAGGGTGGAAGATGCCCTCAGCAGGTGCCCAAGTCTCTCCAGACAGGCACTTGTAAGAGTCGCTAGGGCTGCTTGCTCCTAATCTAGTTGGGGTCCCGATTTGCTTGAAAACTACTTTTTGATGACCCAGTCGGTTATCCTCCTGCCAGTTTACCCTCCCCTGTGGATTGACTAACATGTTCATCAGTTCACTCACCAGTGCTTACTTCTGGTCTAACACAGTGTAACACAGGACAGTGGGGGTGACCAGGCCAGATTCCTGCCCTCCGAGATGTCCCGGTCCGAGGCCGAGGCTGGGGATTCACTGTTTCCCTGGTGTTGTGGCGAAAGCATGATTATGCAAATTACGATTTGTTTCGTTAAAGGAGAAAGAAGACCCTATCGCTTAAAAAATTAAAAGTGGGCCGGGCTCCGGTGGCTCAGCCTGTAATCCCAGCGCTTTGGGAGGCCGAGGTGAGTGGATTGCCTGAGCCCCCGGGTTCGAGACCCGCTTGGGCAAGCGAAACCTCATCTCTACAATAAATCAAAAAAATCAGCCGGGCGTGGTAGCACGCGCCTGTAGTTCCAGCTACTCAGAAGGCTGAGGCGGAACGATCGCCGGAGCTCAGCGGGTCGAGGCTGCGGTGACCAGGAGCGGCCACTGCACTCCAGTCTGGACGACAGAGTGAGACTCCAACTCAAAAAATAAAATAAAAATAAAAAAAGGAGAAAGAAGAAGCACTGGCATAGTAAGTGTCCCTATTAAGTGGCATCTTGAGTTCAAAGCTGAGAGTCGGGACGGGAGCTGCAGGGCCTGGCTCCTCAGAATGACACTTCCAGGAGGTGACACTTCCAGTAGGAAAGCCCCGAAGCTGCCTCTCGAGGGGTGAGTGGGAGCTGTCCCTCCCTGGCTGAGGCTTTGGGCCGCAGAGTGTGAGGGGTGGGAGAAGCCGCCGGCAGGCTGGCACAGCCAGAACTTGGGAGAGTTGGGGGATTCGTGGCTGTGGGGCTAAGTTGCAGTTGGACTTGGACTTTGTAGACATTGCTGAGGAACTGGGCTTGAATCTGGGCATCTGAGAGCCCTTGTGGCGTTCTGAGCAGGAGCCCAGTGTGGGCGTGTTCACAGAGGTCCCTGGCGGGGTGATAAGACGGATTGGCGCGTGGACTAACAAATGTGGCCTTGCACTGGGCCAGCACACTTTGCTAAGTATCTGTCGGGAGCTGGGTGTGATGCCTGGCCCTGGCGGGGTACGTCTGCTAGCAGAGCTGACACGCGAGTGGGACGGCAGAAATGTAAAGATAAGCATTTGTGCAACGCTGGGGACAGAGCCGGCGGCCCCAGGTGTGGCCGTCATTGCCCAGGAAGCGTCAGCAGCGCGGCAGAAGTGGCAGGCCACCGGGGGCGGGGGGCGGAAGGAGAGGCTGCAGGGTCGTCACGTGGGGGGGGGGGGGGGGGGGG